AATTTTAATTAAAAACTTTGTCAAACAACCCTAAATATTATCCATGTCCAAGTGGTTAAATTTAACCTTCTTGTCAAATTCCTGATCATACTACAAAAATATGAGCTGAAAACTAACTTTGTAAATAATTTCATAACATGATTAACATAGACAATAATCACCACATTGGAGTATTTCTTTAAACAAGGATCATGTTTTTTTATTGTTCGTTTAAGACTGCTTTTTGCTTCGTACGCATAAACATTAAAATGCCGGGTATTCCATAAACGGAGTAAACTATGCAACAACTACATTTCCTAAGGATCCAAACCAAATAAGACAAAAACCAAGTGATCCTTTTCATCCTTGAAACTCCCTTCTCTTATACCTCCTTTTGTGACCTCTCTTGTTTATGGCCCCACACCTATGAATCAAGATTCCTAAAAAAAAAAATGCTTACTTTTAGCAAAGATCAAAACCACTTCTAGTTACAGAAACTACTGAACTTCTCTCGAATTTTACGCAACAAATTCTTCTCGAGAATCTAGGAAACTGCTACACTATACCATAGTTCTAACCATTGAAGTGCGATCCTATACTCTATATAAACCCTTCAAGAAACATGCCACATTTTCAACAAACTCTCCCTCACTTCTGTAGACACACAACAATTCACACAACACACAAATTTGAATTCACATATAAGAGATTTCGGAGGCAATAGAAGAGAGACGAGAGAATGGTCACGGGAGCAGCTGACCTGATGTTTCGGCATGTCTTCGAGGGAAGCTTATCAATGTGCGACACGGATATTGAGCGGAGGCCATATCATCGCAATTGCACATGCGCGCTGCACAAAAAGAAGGCCACCTGCCCAAATGCTGTTTTGCATAGCAGGATTATTTCATTCCCCAAAAAGGAATTATGGAATAAATGTTCCTTAATTTCCGTATCAGCTTCCACGGTTTCTTCTCGATCCTCTTATGTTGCTGATTCATCAGTTAGTAGTAGTGAGTGCATCAAGTTTACAGGAGAAGGTTTAATTCTTTTTTCAGTTTTGAAGTCATCCGGCAAGATTCCTTCAGGTTAACATTTTCCTGAGGAAATTTCACTGTACATTCTGATAAGTTAATGAACATGATTAATGATTTCTCATCTTTTATACAGCAGAAGTTAAAATGCATATTGCCAGTACACACTGGCTTTTCAAAAAATTGTTTACTTTCTTAATGCTTAAAGAATGTACATAACCTGGTAACATAAAAATGTCTGTGTCCGCAATATATATCATGTAACAAAGTAGTAAAGCGACAATATGCTGCTTTCTGCAAACTAATTTTCTTGTTATAATTAGTATCATTTTACTAATGGCGGAATATATTTTTGAAATACTTTCAATTGATTGATTATATATATGCATTACAACATTAGAAAAAAGACGGAACAAGAACATGCCTCGTATTTTCTATTATCTTTCCTCAATGTTGTCAAACTAAAATCTTTTACCTAGTGATGTACTGGCAGATATATTTTACGATGCAAACATAGATGTTCAAAACTATTTCTGAAATAAAGAATAATCTAATATTTGGCATAAGTTGAGAGGATGCTAATGTAGAACTTCGTCATTATAAGTATATGATAGTTTCTATAAAAAATTTAAAGTACAATATCTATGTCTGTGCATGTCAATATTCGAGATTGTCTTATTTAACCAACCCCTTTGGAATAACCAAAGTCCTGTCAAAAAATACAGATATCTTTTTTTTTTTTTAAAAAAAAGCCCAAATTCAACGCATTTTATTCAAAGACCTTATGCCGGAGGAATACCTGCAACAGAAAGTTAAAACTCATTTTTTTCAAAATTAATTTTAACCACACATTATCAATTTTTCGACTATACATTTTATTAACTTTTCATCAAAATGTATACAGTGATAAATTTCAACACAGTTGACACAATTATCTAGTAATGGACCATTAACCAAGAATGTGATAACAAAATGAAAAACTGTGAAAATCAAAATTTACTGCATTATTATCAAAATCTATAATAAAAACGAGTAATACTCAAAATTTATATAAAGGAAGCGGCACATAATCAAACGGTATATAAAGGTAGATGCACTCAAGGGACAACTCAAGCTGAATGTAAGCAAAATAATTTAGACAACGACAAACCAAAGATAGAGAGAGTTAAAGCTGAAACGAAAAGTCTATGCTAATAGAGGAAAATAAGATCAAGATGAAGCCAGGGCTACTGATTCTAGAAAATACTAATTATGTCAAATTCCTCTTTAGAGATTTAGTTGAAGAGACGCATATTGAGAACATAAAGCCCCTATCAGGTTTAGCAATACTAATATCAACTAATCAATGTTATGACAGTAAATCAGAAAAGCTGCTAGTTGATTCGAGCTTCAAGCATTCTTACGAGAAGATATATAAAGCCGCAACTTTAGTAAACGCAAGACACATAATACAGAAATTAGTCAATAAATTTCAACAGTTAGTAACTAGATATACAAGATTAAGATCATTATTCATATGAGACAATTCCATCACTTTTTGGTTCTGAAGCAAGTTGTTTGACGCAATTATTTAGAAATAGTAAGGTAAACACGGTTCGATTTTGATGATTTCGGAATATTTTCAAACCAAAACCATTAAAACTATTTAGAAAAGTTTCAAACCAAACCATTTCATTTTTCAAACTGAGCCAAACGAAACAATTTTTTGCACCAAACATTAATTATGCCTTTAATAATAGAATTTCATTGCCATGATTATGGTATCATTACTTTAGTAACGCACTTTTCAAGTTGTTGTTTTCACAGGGTATCATCTTTGCAATGATATTATTTAACTTTCACCTATTTGTCCATCCATCAGGTGGTGCATAAATACCAATTGACAATTTTGAAAATTGACCTCTTGCAACGACGACTTCATGGAATTAACGAGTCAGGTTATCATAATAAATAAGTTAATACAACACTGAATTTTTGCATCAAAGTAAATGTTTGCCTTGTGCCGATGCGACACAAACAATATTGAGGACTTCTTCCTTTCATTGGAGATATCACTAGTTTTACACCCAGAATAAGTTAAAACACCTCTATTTCCAAGATTTCTAAAAGATCCTACAATACAGCACTTACCCAATTTCATTTCCTCGTTTATGCCCGCCCTTCGGTCCCACAAGCCAAACATGGATGAAATCCCACTCTATATAAGGCCCTAGAAAACACAAGCAAATATTTCAACCTGCGTAGTCCGTTCCGTATGGTGGATTCTTCAGTATTGAAAAAATAAAAAGAAGTTAAAATTTTCTCTATAATATAGTTGGCTATATCCAATACAGTACAATCCACCATATACAGAAGTCTGTGAGGAGAGAAAGAATGGTCACTGAAGTAGCAGAGATGATGCTTCAGATGGTTTTTAATGGAAGCATATCAATGTATGACATGGATATTGAGAGAAGGCCGTACCACCGGAATTGCACCTGTGCACTACACAAGTTAAAAAGGGCTTGCCAAAAAACTTGTCCTCAGCACAGGCATATATCCTTCACTCAGAAAGGGACACCGAACTATTGTTCGTTGTCCATAGATGATGCTTCCAACTTCTCTCTTCAGGCTTCTTCTGTCAGGAACGGAGAAATTTCCTGCGATTAGGAGATGATAATTTTTCAGTCATATGTTTTTAAGGTGCTGCACCAATTCCGACTTTCTATGACGCGGTAAACAGACAATGGCCTAAGAAGAAAACTCGTTTTAATGATCAATGTGATTTTAGCTATCAATGGAAGACAGATTTTCCGTAGTGAGGTAATAGTTTCCGCCTTCCAGTGCTTTTCCAGATAATCAAATACGTACAGTGAAGTAAGTCATCCCGCTGGTTTTCAATCTGTCATTCTTATGAATTATGTGAAATTTATGCAAAATTTGTTCCTTGTTCAAAGCATCACTATAGTCTACAGAACAAGCAGGGAACAAGTAATTTACTAAAACTATCTGATGTAAAAGTATTGATCTTTCAGAGAAATATTCATTAGACAAACATATATCAGTATGTGATTTTATACTTTCTTGATGAATTTCGTATGTTTTCAGTTCTGAAAGTTCAATCAATCAATGGAATTAAGCCCCTGTTTGTCTACATTTTTTCAGAACTCTTTTTCTCTCAAACACATTTTCAATCACAAATTCTCACAATAAAATATTTTACACATAAACCTAATTTTTTTTAACATTTTAACCATACATTCTCTAAATATTCAGTATTCGAAAATTCATTTTCATTGAATAATGATAGACAAATAGGGGCTTGATAGAAAACGTCCCTGTTGATTTCGAAAAATGTACTTGCCTCGTTAATAATTAGAACTACACGACATAATGCCACAATTTACAAAGAAATGCACTGCTCCATTTTCAGTAATATAATATGCTACATTTATATATAAGAAAGCGCATATATATTAGTAAAATCATTGATGATATCGTCAACACATAAAAAATGGCTCTATTAGTTCATATTCGAAAATGATGGTCAGCAGTTTTTTTCATTAACAGCAGATGCCTCTCACATGTACGTAGCATTTCATCGAAAGGGACAAAAAAATAAATTATTCCC